TTACCATCAGTCAATGCAGCTGATAACAAACAAAGAGACAAGAACATGACCACCATCAAAATCACCATCGACCCGTGAGTGCAGCTTTAACAGTCTCATCATTTGCTCTGATTAAAGGAGAACTCCAGTGCAAAATGAACCTTTGGTCTAATAAAACATTGGTACCTAGTCAACCGTTCTCTGAGATTTGTTTTCATGATAATCAAATGTAAAGAGTTTTATCTCTAAAAACTGTTTAGCGTATATCGCTAGTAATGGGTTTTTTTAATAAGTTAAAAGAAATCGCTAGTTAATACCACTAACAAGGCTCAAAATAGCCCCACACTAACGTAGTAACATAATGAGGGTCCCTACATTCAAAACGAAACATTGAGAACTGTGTAAGTGTACAGACCGTTTAATAAGAAGATATTTTATAAAGACAGTCCACTTCGTGTATAGCAGGAGCCATCTTGGAAAACAGTCTCGACAAGTCGAACCAAGAAGCCGTTCATACAGTTCAGAAGTTCGCTGAACTTCATACAATTCAGCTCACTTAGCACATAGTTCGTGGTTTGACTAGTCGAGACTGTTTTCCAAAGATGGCTCCACGAAGTGGACTGTCTTCATGAAATATCTTCTTATTAAACGGTCTGTACACTTACAAAGATCTCAATGCTTCGTTTTGCATGTATTTTTTTCTCAATGTATCGTTTTGCCCTCATTACTGTGTTAGTGTGGGGCTATTTTGAGCCTTGTTAGTGGTATAAACTAGCAATTTCTTTTTACTCATTAAATGCCCCCATTACTAGCGTTATACGCTAAACAGTTTTTAGAGATAAAAATCTTTACATTCGATTATCATGAAAACAAATCTCAGAGAACGGTCGACTAGGTACCAAAGTGTTATTAGACCAAAGGTTCATTTTGCGCCGGAGTTCTCCTTTAAAGACACTGACTCTAAATGCTTGTGTATCTAGTAAAAGTTGGTGCTTGTAGACAGTTGAAAATGTTCATGTGAATGGTTCTTGGGAGAGCATGCAGTGGGTGTTAGAATCTAATAAAGTCCCATGTCTGCTAGGGTTGGGTATCATTTGAATTTGAACGATTCTGATTCCGATTCCTTGTTTCGATTCCGGTTCCTAACGATTCTCGATTCCGATTCTTTTAAGAGGCAGGGTCAAAAAAGTTTAGCTAACCTTGCTAACCAACGGCCTTTCTGAAGGAAATAATCCTTTCTGAAGGAAATACTCCTTCTGTAAAAATACTCCTTTTGTCGCAAATTTTGCATTTTGCCGAGATTTCGTTATTTTTAGAAAAGTGAAGCCACACTTTGGATCGCCGACGTAAGGTACCCATGTTCGACTCGCGTGGTTATGCCAACACTTCTGGTAGACGCTTCTTCGTTGGTGTTGTTCAGCGGTTTCTTCTTCCGCTCGACGGACTGTGAATATCGAAACTTTTTTTTTTTTTTGTTGTTGTTTTTTTGGATATATCAAAACTAGGAATCGAAATTTTAACTTTTGAACGATTCCGGGAAAAACGAAAAGTTAGTCCCGGTTCCAATCGATACTCGATTCTCGATACCCAACCCTAATGTCTGCTCATTTCACAATTACTTCACTTCCATCACACTCACACACATCCCTGCACATGTGGTTTATGGCGACTCTCCATAGAAATAATATTTTTTTATACTGAGCTTTATCATATTTTCAATCCCTAACCCCTAAACATAACCCATACAGAAACTCTGTGGTGTTTTTGGAATACACCACACCATGTAGCAGAGGTATGAATCCAATTTGAATTCAGATAGTAACGATTTGATTATTAAATGATTCTCGATGATCTCCAAATCTTTAATTGAAAAACACACAGTTAAAACTCTTTCTCTTTCAGCTTATTTATTTACCAGCTGTTATCAAACTTAATCACATGTCAAATGACATGACAACTAAGGGTGCTCCGATTGATTGGTCACAATCGGCCGATAATTGCTTTGGGATGTGTGATCGGCTCTGATCAACCCGTAAAATCACCGGAAAGAATAGAGTCCGAAGACTGCACGAGCTACAGAGAACACTGTATCCACTGATTGTCGTGGAAACGAGCACTCAGCTTGAGTTCAAAAACAAACAAACACATTTTAGCGCTAGATTTCGATTTAATTTTGAATTCCCTGCTAGTTAACTGGAGATGTTTTATTTATTTGTATTAGGTATGTCTCTGCCTCAATGTCTCTACTCTCTGTTTCTCTATCTCTCTCTTCCTCTCTAAATGCCCACAAAATCTAACTGAGCATCCAAGAAAAAAGCAAAGTTATAGATATATACAGACATGGAAGTTGTTAGTTATTTGTATTTTTTGTTGCTGTGCACTTTACTACCTGTGGTCCTTTAAGCATATTAGAAAAACTGATGGCTGTCTGACTCAAAACATTATTTTGGCTATAGCCTTTTTGTTGTTGCAGTTTTTAGTTTAACGTGGTCTAAAGCTAAATTTAAAGACTCAGATGTTCTGTCTTTTATTTATTTTATTTTATATTCAACAGGAAAGTTGTATGTCAAGTCCTAAGCTGCTCCCAATAACCAAACACAAGCTGCTAAGTTAATATGCTGGACATGTTGCTTGCAAATAAATACACAGGTGTAAATTCATGATACATTGTCTTCTCCTTTAAAAGTAATACTTTATTTAACAACAATGTTCATTTAGTTTAATAATAATGCCCCATGATAAATAGAAGGCTTCTAATAGACCCTGTAATCGGTGATCAGTATCGGTATCGGGTGATACAGCTTCCAGTAATTGGTGATCGGCCCCAAAAATCCTGATCGGAGCACCCTAATGACAACCTCTCTCCTATCATCGTAAAAATTATTATATTTAAAGCTTTACTGTTTTGTATGTGTGGTTTACAGGGACACACAAAGTGATTATGTTGTAATACCAGTGTAAAAGTACAAAATTTTGTCTTCATAAACCATGTAAACAAGCGCACACACACACGCACACACACACACACTGCATCTGTCCGTGTTTGCCTTCTCTTAAAGGAGTAGTCCACTTTTAAAAAAACTTTTGCTGATAATTTACTCACCCCCATGTCATCCAAGATGTCCACGTCTTTCTTTCTTCAGTCGAAAAGAAATTAAGGTTTTTGATGAAAACAAGGGTCTTATCTAGGACCCTTCGAGTCATGACTCGAAAAAAGATTTGTTCATTTTGGATGAACGAGTTTGAACATGAGTCACGAACGCTCATCATAGAACAGTGCAAGGGAGCATTTGTGCTTATAAAACTTAAACTTTTTATTTATTTTTTAAATGACCGATCGTTTCGCTAGATAAGACCCTTATTCATCGTCTGGTGTAGTTTAAAGCCCTTTGAAGCTGCACTGAAACTGTCATTTGGAACTTGAACCGTTTGGTTCCCACTGAAGTCCATTATATGGAGAAAATTCTGGAATGTTTTCATCAAAAACCTTTAATAGATTTGAAAATGTAGTCTCTTTCTTTCATTTTTCATTTTTCATTTATTTCGGTTTGGTCATTTACAGATCATTCAATCAAATCATTCGAAACATAAACATTATAGATGACCAGGTGCAGGCAGAAGCTAAAGCTTATTGTGCCTGCCCTTAAAGGTATAGCGGAGGATCTTTCCGAATTTTAGAGAAGACCCGCCCTCTCCAATTTAAAAAAAAAAAAATGCACATGCACAAACACAACACTCCCGAGAGGGAACGCCTACTATTACGCCTTGCACAATTATGTTGCAAATTGTAAACTAACTCAAAAATATTCATAAAAAAGACAACATGTCAAATGCCCTTCCGTGTTTTATTTACTTATTATACTGATCGATTGAGGACTCAAGACATGATATGTCCAACCCTGTATCACACAAAATACGATCTCAGGAAACTATTTAGCAAATCGCAATTACGTTACATAGCAACATATAAGCAGTGCTATTACGTTGGTCCTTAACCTAATATGTCTCATTGTTAATACGTAGGTATTAATAAGTTATTTTTATACATAGTTGCGTATGGAGAAGTAGCTTGTTGCATTTGTGTAATAATAAACACACAAGGTTTTAGAATATAAACACATGAACACGCAAGGTTTTAGAATATTTCAGCGTGATACCATTTTGGTCAAAAGTTCTACTTTAGACAAATTGAGATGTTTACCGTGTCTATGCAGTGCATGACTTGTGCCAGGGCTAGCATTGCTAAGTAGCTTGCATTAACTTTTACTAGTGATTTTAAATGGATTTCTCCAAATAGCATGACAAACTTTACCTGTCTAGTAGAATCTTCGCGACTGCGGCATCAGTGAGAAGCCCAACCTGTGCTTTTAGCGCACGCCAGCGTGTGATATTCACCCAAAATCACTCTGGTCTTGTTTCTATATTCTGCGGCCTTTCTCTTCTTATCATACACTTCGTATACATTTTTTTTTCTCTTTCGACCCTCAGCCATTTTCAAAGGAATGGCTGAAACCGCAACTCCGACATAATACACCTGAAAGTGAAAACTACATAGGGACGAGCACGCACGACGGCCTTACGTAAACATATCACCAGAATGATTGACACTTAGATCGACCAATAGTATAGACTACCCACCCGGAAAAAGAAAATCCTCCGCTATACCTTTAACTTTAGAATCATTAATGCAACTCATTAATGACAACATCTGTTCATGAAATTAACATTAACACATTAGTGGACCATTGTCCACACCAGAAGCAAGCCTATTTAATTAATTTTCCTTCTATTGAATATTTTTCCAATGTTATTCTCTTGTAAACATTTTTAAACTGAAAAATAGACGTGGCTTTTTTTAACTCATTACAGCAGCTATTCCACAATTAAACTCCTTTATTTGATAAACAGTGTTCTCTTAATGTAGAATGTACTTGTGGTTGGTTAAATATACATAATCCTCTAAGATTATATTTACTTTATCTCTTGGTAAATAATAATTGCAAACATTTTTGAGTTTTATTATATTTGACTTCAACTAAGTCATAAAACTTTAAAATTTTTGATTGGTGAAACAGTAAATTACTTGGTGAGTTGTAAGGTGCATAGTTAATTAATCATAGTTAATAGGAAAATTGGATTGTTTCTAGTTTTGTATGTATTTCCCCATATTTCAATACCATACGTCAAGTATGGTGTGACAAGTGAACTATAAAGTAAATGTAATGCATTTTTGTTCAAAATATATTGCAACTTATACAAAATTGCAATCAGTTTTGATACTTTCTTCTGAACATTAACAATATGCGGTTTCCATGTAATTTTACAATCAATAATTACTCCAAGAAATTTTATATGATTTACTCTTTCTAATGCATTTTCATTAATAGTAATCCTGATCTCATTATTTATCTCTTTATTACTAAATACCATAAATTTCGTTTTATTTAAATTTAGTGACAATTTATTTAAATCAAACCAATCTTTGGACAAATATTTTTATAATGCTAAACTGTCCTAGGCAGATGTTTTGTATATTATACTTTTCTTAAACACAGATAGACATACAGTTCTTCTTTTGAGAGAATTTTAAATATATTAGATTTTTTAATAATATTGTAGCAACAGTCGGATCTTGTTGGAAAACACAATTTGTAAATTCTGAAAATTCTGTTTCTTTGCATTGTAATGTCTTGTACTCCTGGCTCTAAAAGAGAGTCCAACACCATTGCCGTGTGGAATAATGGGCAGGGAATTCCTGTTGTTGAACACAAAGATGAGAAGATGTACGTACCTGCACTGATCTTTGGACACCTCCTCACCTCTAGCAACTATGATGACAATGAGAAAAAAGTCACAGGTAATGCAAGCACACCCTATACTGCAATGGGGCATCTTCAAAAACTCCTCTGCTGTGGAGTTTGTTTTTGTTGGTAGTGTTTTGCTCGCATTCTGATAGTTATTGAACTTGTCTGTGTCACAGAATGGTTAAGCAGCCTTATAGGTTGACCAGTGTTGCACAATTAATCATATTTAACACAATCAATTGTAAACTAGAAAAAAAAAGTTTGATGACACAAACTTTAGGTTGGCTTGAGAAAGCCGGACAAGAGAGTTTGAAGAAGTTTAAAGTAGTTTGAAGTTTTAAAGATGGATTAGACAGAAAGAAAGAAAATGATTTTGAGATTTGTTTCAATGAAAGAAAGATTAGTTAGAGAGAAAGATAGATAGATTAGTTAGAAAGAAAGATTGATTAGTTAGAAAGAAAGATAGATTAGGTAGAAAGAAAAGAAAGAAAGAAAAGAAAGAGAAAGAAAGAAAGAAAGAAAGAAAGAAAGATTTGTTAGAAAGAAAGATTTGTTAGAAAGAAAGATGGATAGATTAGTTAGGTAGAAAGAAAGATATAAAGAAAGAAAGATGGATAAATTAGTTAGAAAGAAAGATGGATAAATTAGTTAGGTAGAAAGAAAGAACGATAGATTAGTTAGAAAGAAAGATGGATAGATTTGTTAGAAAGAAAGAAAGAAAGAAAGATTAGGTAGAAAGATTAGGTAGAAAGAAAGAAAGAAAGATTTGTTAGAAAGAAAGATGGATAGATTAGTTAGAAAGAAAGATGGATAGATTCGTTATAAAGAAAGATGGATAGATTAGTTACGTAGAAAGAAAGAACGATAGATTAGTTATAAAGAAAGATGGATAAATTAGTTAAAAAGAAAGATGGATAGATTTGTTAGAAAGAAAGATGGATAGATTAGTTAGGTAGAAATAAGGACCATAGATTAGTTAGAAAGAAAGATGGATAGATTTGTTAGAAAGAAAGATGGATAGATTTGTTAGAAAGAAAGATGGATAGATTAGTTAAAAAGAAAGATAGATAGATTAGTTAGGTAGAAAGAACGATAGATTAGTTAGAAAGAAAGATGGATAGATTTGTTAGAAAGAAAGATGGATAGATTTGATAGAAAGATTGATAGATTAGTTAGAAAGAAAGAAAGATTAGGTAGATAGATGGATAGATGGATAGATAGATTAGGTAGAAAGAAAGAAAGATGGATAGATTTGTTAGAAAGAAAGATGGATAAATTAGTTAGAAAGAAAGAACGATAGATTAGTTAGAAAGAGAGATGGATAGATTAGTTAGAAAGAAAGATGGATAGATTTGTTAGAAAGCAAGATGGATAGATTTGCTAGAAAGAAAGATGGATAGATTAGTTAAAAGAAAGATGGATAGATTAGTTAGGTAGAAAGAAAGAACGATAGATTCGTTAGAAAGAAAGATGGATAGATTAGTTAGAAAGAAAGATGGATAGATTAGTTATGTAGAAAGAAAGAACGATAGATTATTTAGAAAGAAAGATGGATAGATTTGCTAGAAAGAAAGATGGATAGATTAGTTAAAAAGAAAGATGGATAGATTAGTTAGGTAGAAAGAAAGAACGATAGATTTGTTAAAAAGAAAGATGGATAGATTAGTTAGAAAGAAAGATGGATAGATTAGTTGCGTAGAAAGAAAGAACGATAGATTATTTAGAAAGAAAGATGGATAGATTAGTTAAAAAGAAAGATGGATAGATTAGTTAGAAAGAAAGATGGATAGATTAGTTACGTAGGAAGAAAGATGGATATATTTGTTAGAAAGAAAGATGGATAGATTAGTTAGGTAGAAAGAAAGAACGATAGATTAGTTAGAAAGAAAGATGGATGGATTAGTTAGAAAGAAAGAAAGAAAGATTAGATAGATAGATAGATAGATAGATAAGTTCATTAGTACATATAGAATGGTAGTTTAATTGAGTCTAGGGCTTCAGGGAATTTAGATTTGAGTTTTTGTTGTACGCTATTGGGCCACCGTAGTCTTGGCTCAATTTGACCATGCTGCAATGAAAGTCAATGGGATTTTTATGGTTTTTAATATTAATTTTTAAGAAATCTGAAAGTCGAATCAGTCTGAAAAGATATAGCACACTAAGTCTGGAGTGGAGTTAGAAAGAAAGATGGATAGATTTGTTAGAAAGAAAGATGGATAGATTAGTTAGAAAGAAAGATGGATATATTAGTTAGAAAGAAAGATGGACATATTAGTTAGGTAGAAAGCTGGATAGATTACTTAGGTAGAAATAAAGAATGATAGATTTGTTAGAAAGAAAGATGGATAGATTTGTTAGAAAGAAAGATGGAATTGTTAGAAAGAAAGAAAGAAAGAAAGAAAGAAAGAAAGAAAGAGAAAGAAAGAATTGTTAGAACGAAAGATGGATAGATTAGTTAGAAAGAAAGATGGATAGATTTGTTAGAAAGAAAGATGGATAGATTAGTTAGGTAGAAAGAAAGAACGATAGATTAGTTAGAAAGAAAGATGGATAGATTTGTTAAAAATAAAGATGGAAAGATTAGTTATGTAGAAAGAAAGAACGATAGATTATTTAGAAAGAAAGATGGATAGATTAGTAAGAAAGAAAGATTGATAGATTAGTAAGAAAGAAAGATGGACAGATTAGTTAGAAAGAAAGATGGATAGATTAGTTAGAAAGAAAGATAGATAGATTAGTAAGAAAGAAAGATGGATGGATAGATTTGTTAGAAAGAAAGATGGATAGAGTAGTTAGAAAGAAAGATGGATATATTAGTTAGGTAGAAAGAAAGAACGATAGATTTGTTAGAAAGAAAGATGGATAGATTAGTTAGAAAGAAAGATGGATAGATTTGTTAGAAAGAATGATGGATAGATTTGTTAGAAAGAAAGATGGATAGATTAGTTAGAAAGAAAGATGGATATATTAGTTAGGTAGAAAGAAAGAACGATAGATTTGTTAGAAAGAAAGATGGATAGATTAGTTAGAAAGAAATACGGATAGATTAGTTAGAAAGAAAGATGGATAGATTTGTTAGAAAGAATGATGGATAGATTTGTTAGAAAGAAAGATGGATAGATTAGTTAGAAAGAAAGATGGATATATTAGTTAGGTAGAAAGAAAGAACGATAGATTTGTTAGAAAGAAAGATGGATAGATTAGTTAGAAAGAAAGATGGATAGAATATGTTTAGAAAGAAAGATGGATAGATTTGTTAGAAAGAATGATGGATAGATTTGTTAGAAAGAAAGATGGATAGATTAGTTAGAAAGAAAGATGGATATATTAGTTAGGTAGAAAGAAAGAACGATAGATTTGTTAGAAAGAAAGATGGATAGATTAGTTAGAAAGAAAGATGGATAGATTAGTTAGAAAGAAAGATGGATAGATTTGATAGAAAGAATGATGGATAGATTTGTTAGAAAGAAAGATGGATAGATTAGTTAGAAAGAAAGATGGATATATTAGTTAGGTAGAAAGAAAGAACGATAGATTTGTTAGAAAGAAAGATGGATAGATTAGTTAGAAAGAAAGATGGATAGATTAGTTAGAAAGAAAGATGGATAGATTTGTTAGAAAGAATGATGGATAGATTTGTTAGAAAGAAAGATGGATAGATTCGTTATAAAGAAAGATGGATAGATTAGTTACGTAGAAAGAAAGAACGATAGATTAGTTATAAAGAAAGATGTATAAATTAGTTAAAAAGAAAGATGGATAGATTTGTTAGAAAGAAAGATGGATAGATTAGTTAGGTAGAAATAAGGACCATAGATTAGTTAGAAAGAAAGATGGATAGATTTGTTAGAAAGAAAGATGGATAGATTTGTTAGAAAGAAAGATGGATAGATTAGTTAAAAAGAAAGATGGATAGATTAGTTAGGTAGAAAGAACGATAGATTAGTTAGAAAGAAAGATGGATAGATTAGTTAAAAAGAAAGATGGATAGATTAGTTAGGTAGAAAGAACGATAGATTAGTTAGAAAGAAAGATGGATAGATTTGTTAGAAAGAAAGATGGATAGATTTGATAGAAAGATGGATAGATTAGTTAGAAAGAAAGAAAGATTAGGTAGATAGATAGATAGATGGATAGATAGATTAGGTAGAAAGAAAGAAAGATGGATAGATTAGTTAGAAAGAAAGATGGATAGATTAGTTACGTAGAAAGAAAGAACGATAGATTAGTTAGAAAGAGAGATGGATAGATTAGTTAGAAAGAAAGATGGATAGATTTGTTAGAAAGCAAGATGGATAGATTTGCTAGAAAGAAAGATGGATAGATTAGTTAAAAGAAAGATGGATAGATTAGTTAGGTAGAAAGAAAGAACGATAGATTCGTTAGAAAGAAAGATGGATAGATTAGTTAGAAAGAAAGATGGATAGATTAGTTATGTAGAAAGAAAGAACGATAGATTATTTAGAAAGAAAGATGGATAGATTTGCTAGAAAGAAAGATGGATAGATTAGTTAAAAAGAAAGATGGATAGATTAGTTAGGTAGAAAGAAAGAACGATAGATTTGTTAAAAAGAAAGATGGATAGATTAGTTAGAAAGAAAGATGGATAGATTAGTTGCGTAGAAAGAAAGAACGATAGATTATTTAGAAAGAAAGATGGATAGATTAGTTAAAAAGAAAGATGGATAGATTATATAGAAAGAAAGATGGATAGATTAGTTACGTAGGAAGAAAGATGGATAGATTTGTTAGAAAGAAAGATGGATAGATTAGTTAGGTAGAAAGAAAGAACGATAGATTAGTTAGAAAGAAAGATGGATGGATTAGTTAGAAAGAAAGAAAGAAAGATTAGATAGATAGATAGATTTTTATGGTTTTTAATATTAATTTTTAAGAAATCTGAAAGTCGAATCAGTCTGAAAAGATATAGCACACTAAGTCTGGAGTGGAGTTAGAAAGAAAGATGGATAGGTTTGTTAGAAAGAAAGATGGATAGATTAGTTAGAAAGATACTAGAAAGATTAGTTAGAAAGATACAAAATACTGAAATGAAGCTGACTCACTCTGGAAGATTAAACAAATTATAAATTGTTTGTTATAAACAATTCAAAAACAAAATCAAGGCAACATGTAACACTAAGATTTACAATCAAAATAAAATCCAGTCAGTTTGTAAAATGTACATACTTCAGTTAGATGACAAATTATCATCAAATTAAATGGATAAATCTTTAAATGGTGTGTCATGTAAATATATAGGCTACTTTATTTTAGAGAGATGTTCTAAGAATGTGCAGTCTGCTTTTATTAATATTATATTTTTGACAGGGGAAGTTACAAGATCGTCATCCAGTTACTTCTTTTACACCCTCAAGTAGTAAATTATTTTAGATAATACATTTTTATGATGTATGTGGTGCTTACCTACTTAACCATATTTTGGGGACACATTTGAACGCGGAATAGAGCTAAATCGTACAAAACTCTTTTTGGGAAGTCCTCGTTTGTGAAAACTCTATTATATATATATATATATATATATATTGTTCCATTGTAAAAAAAGAAAGAAAAAAAAGGTTTTCTGGTGGGGTTTGGGTTTAGTGATTGTATTTGCTGTATATAAAAAGAATATCTATGGAATGTCCCTGTTTAGGTAGCTAAAACAAAATTCTTGCTTTGGCAACTGTTCATCAAAATGTCTGTGCACTACCCTGTATTCACATTTTTAGTGGTTAAATTATTTTTTACATTCATTTTCATGTTCACCCTCTCTATCTTTAATTACTGTTGAGTGAGTAGGGTTCTTCTCTTAAATTGTTTATTTATTTAATACGGTCAAGGGGACATATTTTTTTATGTTTTCCTTAAACCACAAACAGACAATATACTGTACATAAAGTAATAACCAAAACACACTCATCATGAGCAGAAAACAAAGTTACTATAAGTAGTAATTTAAAAGTTTTAATTTCCTTGCCATCCATGGCAAATATTTTCATCAATTACAACATTATTTATTATGAAAAGTTCTTAGCATGCTGATTGACGGAATAAAATGTTATTGTCTAAAGGTGACTTGTTAACATGTCACAAACCTAGCTTGTGTTTGCTCACAGCAACCCAGCAAGCAAGAAAAATAAAATAAGAAGCAAGAAGTAAAAATGCTCACAGTCATACATGCAGATACAAATACTTTTACTTTGCTGCATTCTCATTTTCTGCAGCGTTGTAGTGAAAGTTGGTACTAGATAGAATTATTACCGCATGTGTTGTGTATGGCTCCGTTGTTTTGACACGCTGCTCACTTTTTAAACTGTAGGATTAGTAAAATAGATTTTTGTCATAATCATGCAGCCTTTAGATGCAGTTGTGCTGTTTGTTCATGTTAAAGATGAGTTTTCAGCTGATTGAGTTGTTTTTCAACCCATCAATCTTGTGTTCTTCAGGTGGCAGGAATGGATATGGTGCTAAACTCTGTAACATATTCAGCCTAAAGTTTACAGTAGAGACAGCCTGCAAGGAGTACAAACGCAGCTTCAAACAGGTACAGCCGTTTTACTGAAGGGTGATTTGGAATACAGGAAATATGTTGTGATAAAACTGCAGCTATGATGAAGTCTTAAGGGGGTCGCACATTGGACGAGAACCGCAGCACTTCGCCGAGCAGCACCATGTCTTTAAAATTCAAACACATTATTCTCTGTTAGTGTACACACACTGGCAGCGCCATTCGGCGTATGTCCGCGGTGCCCAGCTACGGCTCAGGACCTTGTTCAAAATCCTGCCGCACCACAGAACGCCATTTACATGGTTTTATATTAAATTGACATTATATTTGTCTCAAATCGTCATTAATGTATATACCCTGTGCTGCAATGAACATTTAGTTTTGCATTCATTTGCAGAAATCAGCTGCTTGATTGAAAAGTTTTGATGTTATCGGATTTTCAGTTGAGATTATCAATTCATTGAGTTAACGGATGCTCTGAGGTAAAGTGTTCAGACTGCAGACTCAGCAACGATTGTATTTAATTATACAGTATAATCATAACATAGTACAGACATTATTTTTAATTTCATAATGTCCTTAAACATAACAATATTGCTGGCCATAAACTGAGAAAGTGCCTGTCCAGTGTGCGATACCTCGAGTTGCCCTAGAAGCGACGAGGCGCTTCTCGTCCGGTGTGCGACCCCCTTTACACTTTAACTTAAAGTTTTTCTCCTTCCATCTCTCCCAAAGACATGGCAGGAGAACATGGGAAAGACCAGTGAGGCGAAGATCAAAAACTTTGATGGGGATGACTTCACGTGTGTCACCTTCCAGCCTGATCTGGCCAAATTCAAGATGGAGAAACTGGATAAGGACATTGTGGCTTTGCTAACACGCAGGGCGTATGATGTGGCTGGGTCTTGTAGGGGCGTCAAAGTCATGCTCAATGGAAAGAAGCTACCCGTAAGTCACCTGTCATTTCCTTAAGTAAAAAAGAGTTTTCTAGACAGCAGTGTGATGAGGATTTTCTTTTAAATCTGAAAGACACAAAGATTTCTAGACATTTCTTGTCTCTAATGATGTTTTTGTGTCTTGTGCTGCAGGTGAATGGTTTCCGCAGTTATGTGGATCTCTATGTGAAGGATAAACTGGATGAGACGGGAGTCGCTCTAAAGGTGGTGAATGAGGCGGTGAATGAGCGCTGGGAAGTGTGTCTCACCATGAGTGAGAAGGGCTTCCAGCAAATCAGCTTTGTCAACAGTATTGCAACCACCAAGGTCTCTGAAACACACCGCTACTTAGGGCCAATCCCAATTCTACCCCTTACCCCTTCACTTTCCCCTAGCCCTACCCCTTCGCCTTCCCCTTGACCCTTGAAACAGAGTGGCAATGCGTAGGGGTGAAAATATTCCCCTAAGAAATGGGACACCACTTCCCCAGACAGCAAACTGACATTGAATCAACGTGGAAACGACGTCTCTCATGACATTGAAACAACGTTGATTTGCTCATCGAATTAACGTTGAACCAACGTCAGACGCGGCATTCTTCAAAGCTAAATGAAAATCGAAAATTGGTTTGCTTTCATAACGTTGAAACAACGCGTTGATTTTAAGTTGATTTTCCGTTAGTTTTGAAAGAATGACGCATCTGACGTTGGTTCAACGTTAATTCAATGAGCAAAACAATGTCAGATCAACGTTGTTTCGATGTCATATTTTCACGTTGATTCAATGTCAGTTTGCTATCTGGGACGCCTCCGTTAAACGTCATTATAAGTCGTCGCTAGCGCCTACGTCACAGGAGATGCGCCGATGTTTATCACAACTTCCAAGATGCCGTCGGCGTTCATAGCAGATGTAAGGTAAAAATAAAGCCAATTCCCTTCAACAATTACATTCACCAGTTGCCAGACATGAAAATATCGGGACTATCGTTAGCAAAACTACAGTAATTTTAGCGATTTTTTTTTTTACAAACGTTTCTGTGAAGAAACTGACCGTAAATATGAACACAATATTGAATGTAACATAAAGCAAATCATTATTTGTCGTTACAATACTTATAAGCCACAAATACTTACATTTATGGGTGTCCTTTTTCGCCTTGGGCAGCCATTTTGCGTCTGTAGCCTGGGTTAGCAGTGACACTTCTCATACCCCTTCGTTTGAAGTGTGCTCCCGAAAAATCTTCGTTTGAAGGGCTATCTGGCCCTTCCCCCCAGCCCCCCGCCTCCAACCAAAAGAGAATTGGGACAGCCCTACCTCTTCACGTGGACGCGCAAAACGGAGGGGAAGGGGAAAGTGAAGGGGTTGAATTGGTATTGGCCCTTATTCCTCAAACTAGGGATGTAGAAAGTTTTTCAGATTTGTGGTTTGGCTGTCTAAACAACTGGTTAACTGAAACTTATGGATAATTAAACTAGTTTCATGTATGCCAGACCCCAATCTGGTTGTTTTAATATAGCAGTGGTGCTTTAAAGCTGATGAAATTATTTGTGCAACGTTTAGAGCAACCAACTAAACTAACAGCAATAACACAGCATTCTCTGCTATACTCTACTCAGCGCTTCTGCTATACTGGTATTTTTTTATGATTCCTCTGTTGTTTAGATGCTTCTTTTACAGTTTTTCTCAATTGCTAAAACACAATTTCTGAAACATTGCTCCATTTTCTGAAAACATTAAACACAAAACCTTGTCTTCAAGCTCTATTTACAAAACCTCTGATTCCTCTTGCAAAATGAAACTTTCACCTCAAAACAGTTTTACCTGTGTTCAAAGTCAAACACTGCTCTCAAAATAGTTTTACCTGTGTTCAAATTCAAACACTGCTCTCAAATCATAAACAAAGTGATAAAAAAATGCTATACACTATCAATCAGTCAGTAAACAATACACCAAACAATTTAAAACACATTGTTCAAAACATATAGCTCTCAGGGAGAACTATATGTCAAAACAAATGAATTTCATATAAAAAAATCATATTTTTTCATTGTACGGTCTACAGCAGTGCACTGTACTACAGTATACGATATTTACGAAATAAGGGACACAAATGAAAGGAGTAAACATTTGATCAATGTGCTTCTTGTTTTTGGCCTGGGTCATGCCAGAGGACTTCGTCGACTTCACAAGCAATATTGTCCCTTGCCCCCCTCCTCTTCCTCCTCCTCCTCTTCTTCCTCTTCCTCCTCCTCTTTCTCCTCTTTCTCTTTCTTGCCCTCCTCCTCCTCCTCTTCCTCTTTCTTGACCTCCTCCTCTTTGTCTCCCACCTCGCATACGTCCTCGTCCTCTCACGTTGTTTTTTCTGATACATATTGCTAATTTTGGTTGTGTCACATCATTTGAAACAGGTTGAATCAGTTTTGAGTGGTTGTGTTCAATTAAATGATATGTCTTTTCTATTTGTATTTGATTGTTGCCACTTGTGTTTACCAGTATGGATGACATGTGCATTAGAGTGCAGAATGTGTTTTGAGAATGAGAATGTGTTCAGAGTTTTGCTGAAAAGTCTAAGTGAGATCTGCAAATTGTGTTTTACCATGAGAAATTGTTTACGGTATTGACAACAGACTTCACAATTAGCTAAATGAGTTCAGGCAACTGAGAACTTTGTTCAGCCAATGGATTTTAGTGTTTTAGCAATTGAGAAAAACTGTAAAGTAATGTAATACTCATGAGATGTGTTATATCTTAGGGAGGAAGACATGTTGACTATGTTGTGGACCAAATTGTGTCGAAACTGATTGAAGTGGTGAAGAAGAAGAACAAAGCTGGAGTCTCTGTGAAACCATTCCAGGTATATATTTACTGCTCAACACACAAGATATAATATCTATTTAGACACTTGGAATTTTGCTTCTTTAGTCTCTCAAGATGTTGAGTGCAAAGAATTCACTGTTTCAACAGTTCTAAGGAAATGTTTTTTTTTAATTTCAGGTTAAAAACCATCTGTGGGTATTTGTTAATGCCCTGATCGAGAACCCAACTTTTGATTCCCAGACTAAGGAGAACATGACTCTACAGACCAAAAGCTTTGGCTCAAAATGTGCTCTCACTGAGAAATTCATTAGATCTGTAAGTGTGTGATTATCTCTTATGTGGTTCTGATGACAGAAAAGTTTCACATTTTAATATTAGACCAGGGAACTACACTGCGACCTTTTGAAATCCCATTTCGACCCTAATTTTTAATTGGTCGCAAATGTATCACTGACTATTTTGACGGGTCGTTTTTGTTTGTTTGTTTCGGGTTGTATTTAATCTTCTAAAACCTGTCGGATCGTCCGCTTTTGTCCCGCCAAAGCCCTTTTTGATCGGCGAGTGTTGTAGAGTAGAATGACTGATGCGTTTGACAGGGCGCAAACGAGCTGAGAGACAGAGAGAGAGAGCGCGCCCTGGCCGCGCGCGCACTATCACGTCTTCACACAACACAAGCGCTGTCTTGCTCTCTCTCTGTCTCTCCCTCCTCGTGCATATTTTTCAAAATCACTGGACATGATGGTAAAAGGTTTGTGTCTTTATAATAGGCATGCTAATCACAATCATATAGGCTACCATCTGGGCCTGCATGGCGGCAGGAAAAAGACGCAGAGATGTAAGACACCGTCTCTCTACCTCACGATGATTTTGGTACACCAAAGGTAGATTTGCGCTCTGGAGTTCGTCTGATAAACTCTGCCATGAGCTAACTAATTATATTGCTAGCGCTGATATTGACATCGACTAACGTCATATGATCACTAGCAGTTTTTTTAAACTAGTTTTTTTTTGTGCTGTGTAGGCTGAATCGTAATCGTGTGATTCGCGTCAAGACACCTGATTGGCTAATACTACACACTGAAGATAAATTAAATAATGTTTTATTAAATAATTACTGAAAATACCCTCTCTTCATCCCACACCCCAAACATGACATACAAAATGTTGTGGAACAGAAACAACAACCAGAGATATAAGCTATCATTTTATTGTCATCACAGTTTGCCAATAGACCATTTCACAAGATGTAAACAACACTGGTCCAGAAGCACTTCCTGTTTCAGTTTGTAACTGTTTTCTTTATTTCACATGTAAAGAAAACATCTTAAAGATGTTTGTTTAACTTTTTGATTCAGTTTTAAATGTTCTGTTGGTTGTATTTTATCCCAGCTTTTATGTAGTGTTAAAAAACTGAAACAGGAAGTGCTTCTGGGCCAGTGTTGTTTACATCTTGTGAAATGGTCTATAGACGAATCCGGCGAAACTACCGGAAGTAAGCGGGGCGCCATTACTGAGCTGTTGCTGGGTAGCGTTGCGCCATTGCCTCCTATTGTTTTAGTTGCAACTTGCGTCCACTGGAATAAACAGCCCGCGATTTACGACCGTCACTAACGTTACAACGTTACCCCTTGTATAATGTCGAGTGGGTAAACAGTTTCCGTTATAAATTGTTTCAATGGTGGCAGTAAAATTTAAATTTTGATGAGAAAACATGAATACCCCGGGTCAACTGCCCCTGTCTGGTGCCGTACGGTTTACAGATTTCCTGGGCGAGTACAAGACGTGGACATTCGCGTATAATAACAATTATTTAATGACATGAGTAAAAAAAAAAAAAATAAATATGTGATATAGTGATCAGCAAAATCTCCTCTCTTGCTGTTTTTTCTATTCAATTGGCTTTATGCCCAGCTGCACTACTTCCTGAACTTCAGCCAGCTCCTTGTTTCCTGTCTGCCATTATTGGCCAAATTGATTAATTCAGGTGTGTCTGATTATTGTTGCCATGACTACTGAGGTCAGGCACACCTGGATTAATCAATTTGGCCAATAATGGCAGACAGGAAACAAGGAGCTGGCTGAAGTTCAGGAAGTAGTTTAGCTGGGCATAAAGCCAATTAACATGCTATGGTCATTAAATGGCTTTCCTGAGCTAAATGTAACGTTATGTGACATAATTGTTTTCCTGCTGTTATATTGACCTCTTTCCATGGTTTAAAAACACTAATTGGTCGATATTATGTATACTTTCTAGCTGTAACGTTACCTTACCCTTGCCTGTTGCAATGTGAAAATGAGATAAATAATGGACACAAATGAAAAACATGAATTTGTTTATTTGATTTCATTCATTTATTTATTTATTGTTGCCAAATGGACAGATCTTTTTATAGTTTCCTCGTTAGCAAACGTTAGCCTAGCTAGCTTGCCAAGCTATTTTCATAAATAACGTTAATCTGTAAGATCGTTTGCACCTTTATCTGTGACTGGAGGCCACTGCAGTCACAGATCAAACACAGGTCATCGAGGGTGAGTTCGCGTTATCACCGAGGTTTGTTTACATACCGGTGCATATGTCTATATGCCTGTGTAACAGCTCAGTAATGGCGTCGCCACAAGATGGCAGCCTACACAGAACGCTCGTCGGATTCGTCTATAGTCTTGCGCCCATTATTCTACATTGATTAAAAAAGATAATCAAATGTGTTTTAATGGTAATTATTTTATACGGAAATCATTTATTTATAATTCAGTTGAGAATAAAGGGTTAATTAAAATTAAGGAAAACAAATATATTGATCTGAAATATAGCAAATGAATTTTACATTCATTCAAGTACAATTACCAAACAAGGTCATTTGTCTTTTTATTAATTTAATTAATAAACTAATTATATAAAACTATTGTCAGTGCACTACAAATAAACTGGTTCTATGCCATTATTAATAAAACTTAAACAACTTAAAATACGAGGCTTAAGAGATTTATAAAAATGCCTTCTGCATTTTTGTTTTGCTTTTCACTCCATTGTACCGAAATCGTACTGAACCGTCTGAATGTCTGAACCAAGGTATGAACCCAACCGTGACTTCTGTACCGTTCCACACCTAATGCAGTACAGTTTCATTATTATTCATTATTATCCAGAGAGCGGCTTACTATAAATAATTTGCGTGACCAAATCATGTTTTGCGCCAGTAAATGAAAAAGTTAGTAGCACAAGTGCCACCAGTGGAAAAGGTTAGTGTAGTTCCCTGTAGACTTTCATTAACAAAAGCTTCTGGACATAAAAATAATCGCATGAATTGAACTCTGCATGAAACTGAAGTTGCAACCAATGAGTTTTGCACAAGACAACACGTAACATGTATTAAGAAAATCAATTGGGAATATTTGGTTTAATGCCGACTTCAATAACCATTGAGTTGTGGTAATATCTGAGTTATTTGTCCCATCATAGGCCACAAATTGTGGTATTGTGGAGAGCATTCTGAACTGGGTGAAGTTTAAGGCTCAGACACAGCTCAACAAGAAATGCTCCTCTGTCAAACACAGCAAGATTAAAGGAATTCCCAAACTAGATGATGCCAATGATGCTGGTGAGTTCATGACAGATAAAGCCCCTTTCTGCTGCCCACAGCCATATCAGCAGAATTTAAAGATCATGTTCTGCTCATTAGGGCTTAACGATATGGTCCTAATGAGCAGAACATGGTCCAAATCGTATTTTTAAACTGATATGTTATATATCTTGGTATGTTATATATCTTTTCTATGAAGTAGGCTAAATGTTCAGTTTTTAGTTCATAAGGCACACAATTGGTAAATGAAGTTTGCAATGCACTTTGTTTTAGGGCAAAAGTCTTTTTGACCTGTAAAGTTTAACACACTCTTCTTCACACTGCAGTTTATGGTGCTGTTGTAAATTTTGGAGGAGATTTGATGTACTTCCATTTCTTAATGCAACCTGTTTATGGCAATCCCTACAGATTAAAGGGGGGGGGGGGGGGGGTTGACTGCTTTTTTTCTTTGCATGATTGTGTTTATGGGGTGCAATATAACATGTATTCGTGGTTTTTCTTTTTTAAAAAGTCTTATTTTTCATAAACATCACCTTCATTGTCAGCCGAGCTCTCCTCTGTCCTTGAACGAGCGGTTCACTTCCTGAGTCTATGAAACCACTCCCTCAGAAACGGGCAGTGGGCTCAGATTGGTTAGTTTGTCCCGGTGTTGTGATTGGCTGAACTGTCGCTCACGTTGTCCGGAAGGTTTAGCGCCCATTACCTTTACGGGCGAAACGTGCATGTTAGGGGTGGGCGATATGGCAAAAATATCATATCACGATTTTTTTAGGAAAATCACGATCACGATTTTTTATCACGATTCTTTTTCAAGTTGGTTTTAATATTTTGCAAGTGGCTGTTCATTACAGCCAAACTAATGTCCCTGTGTTATAAACAAAGCCTTAGGTAACAAAAGAAAAAAGAAAGGCATACATTTAGGCCAGTGGTGAAGATAAAAATCTTTGTCATTATTTTCTTTGTTATTAAAAAAATAAGACAAGATAAACATTACACAAATTAATATTCAAATTAAATAAATAGTGCGTTATTTTTTCAGATGCGGTAGGTGTATTTAGCAGTAGCATTGAAGAAAGTGATTAAATTAACAAATATGAAATTAAAACACTACATAGACTTCACTGAATAAATTATTGATTCTTATTAAAGCTACTTTTAAAGTTCTCAGTCAGAGTGATTTTCTCCTTGTGTTTTTTAGGGATAGTTCCCTCAAAAATGAAAATGGTCTCAATTTACTCTCTCAAGATGTTTTAAACCTGAATAAGTTTCTTTCTTCTGTTGAAAATAAAAGTTATTTTGAATAATGTGGGTAACCGAACAGTTGCTGGTCCCCCTACTTTTTTATAGGTTCTCTCCAGGAAGTTAATGGGGACCAGCAACTGTTTGGTTACCCACATTAAAAAAAATCTTCTTTTGTGTTCAGCACAAGAAAGAAATGAATACAGGTTTGGAACAACATTAGAGTGAGTAAATAATGACAGATATTTTTTTTTTGTTTTTTTTTTGTGTGAACTATCCCTTTAAGGACAAGCGGCAGTAGGCTACTATTTATTCCTGTTGCTTTTAGACCAGCACGCAACGCGTTTAATATAGACGCATATTACACCAGATATTCTCTCAAATGTTTGCTTTCACTTTAGACATAGCCTGTTTATGTAAACATTGTGTGTATTTAACAGTATTAGCATAATAATACTCGAAAGATAACTTAGTCCAGTTTTCAGGCGCTGTTTGACAGGCTTCTAGTTCCTGTGAGTGTCGTGGTATGTGGTCAGGAAAGCGCACGTTAGAACAGCGCATTAGCGCGTGAATTAAATGTTTAACTGGCAAGGCTTATGCAAATAATGAACTTTTGTGAATTGCAGTGTCCCGTACCTGTTCATTAACGTGTGATGTGTAGGCTATACGTCGCGTTGTACAGTTGAGACGGCGGTGCCAGAACTCGTGGAGATTCTGGAAGCTGTCTTCCGTAAAATGCGCAGCACAGAGAGCTAGAAAATGCGCAGCACAGAGAGCTAGAGGCATATGCGCATGCCCTTTTTTGCATTTTCCGGAGGGAGGGGTTGATGCAAATGTGTGGGTTAGTGACATCTAAAACCCAGCTGTAGTCCCAATCGAGTCGTTTTTGTAGGCAATATACTTCGAAAATCGAAAATGTGTCTGGTTTTTTAAAACCAAATATGTAAATTTTTGTCAAAGATTTAATAGACACGGGTGAATCGTTGTCATTTAGAAATAAAATCACATGGGTGTTTGAATCAATCAATTGGGCAACTCTAGTGGAGAGATGTTCTAAGATCTTTTCCATTACGCCTTGAGGAAAATGTAAAAACTTTTTGACTTCCTTTCCTCTTTATGAAAGTGAGTGTCAGAAATGGAAAGTTGCTGTAGGTATCAGTTACAGCACATATCAGTTAAAGCAAATTAAGTATACAAGAATATTATTAAAAATGAAAAATAATTAAAATAAATAATGTATATCATCATATTGATAAAATAAAGAATATTATACCACTGCCTTTGTTTAATTCTGCTTTTCCATAAGCAATACCTACTCTCAGAGAGTGAAATATAATTTTCATTCATGGCATTGGTCTAAACACACTATTTACACTATATACTTACATTACCTATATACAGTAATGAGAATGATATATTAAAGAGAAGTGGTGCAGAAAATGTGTTTAATAGTCAAAAATAATGTTACAATAAAAAACAAAACAAATGACAGCTGTTGGACTTTTGGTATATGCAGTTTTTCTCAGTATTGCATATTGTACCAACTACTTTGCTTGGCAGATTACTTAAAGAACAGTAAATATGAAAGTGCTGTTTAAAATGTTTGATTCACCTGTGAGTAACACTTGCTCTGTAATGTAGGGGGGAAACATTCTTCAGATTGCACTCTGATCCTGACTGAGGGAGATTCAGCCAAGTCTCTGGCTGTGTCCGGTTTAGGAGTGATCGGGCGAGATCGATATGGGGTGTTTCCGCTCAGGGGAAAGATCCTCAATGTGAGGGAGGCCACACACAAGCAGGTAAGCTGCATGAATCTTGACACGGAAAGACAAACCATACTAGAAAATAAGAGAAAAGAATGCAATGTTGAAGTACAATATCGACAAAGGTACATGAGAATGCTTTATATTTATAAGCGCTTCTAACAGACCTGGTGCAGAAGCTGCATCGATCCATCTGTGAATTTCCCATCCTTCCCTCACTTGTGAACAAAACCCCAATATACTTAACTCCTCCACTTGAGGCAGAATGGACAAGGTCCATGAGCAAGTCACTTGGTCAGGTGGAACCGGGGATTGAACCACCAACCTTTCGGTTTGTATACAACCTACATGAACCACTGAGCCACTGCCGCCCCTACACACAGGAACACACCCTCCGGTCCCCCTTCTTAAAAAGAGGGAACACCGCCCTGATCTGCCATCCCAGAGGCACTGTCCCCGACCGCCATGCGATGCTGCAGAGGCGTATCAGCCAAGACAGCCCCTCTAAACATCCAGAGACTTGAGGTACTCATGGCGGATCTCATCCACCCCGGTGCCTTGCCACCGAGGAGTTTCTTGACTACCTCAGTGACTTCAGCTTGGGTGATGGACAAGTCAACCTCTGCTTCCTTAATGGAAGACGAGACGGCGGGATTGAGGAGATCCTCAAAGTATTCCTTCCACCGTCCTACGACATCCCCAGTTGAAGTCAACAGCTGCCCACCTTCACTGTAAACAGCGTTGGTAGGGCACTGCTTCCCTCTCCTGAGGCGCCAGACAGTTTGCCAGAATCTCTTCGAGATCACCCGATAGTCCTTCTCCATGGCCTCACCGAACTCCTCCCAGGCCCGAGTTTTTGCCTCCACAACCACCCGGGCTGCAGTCTGCTTGGCCTGCCGGTACCTGTCAGTTGCCTCAGGAGTCCCACAAGCCATCCAGGACCGATTGAACTCTTTCTTCAGCTTGACGGCATCCTTTACTTCCGGTGTCCACCACCGGGTTCGGGGATTGCTGTCTCATCAGGCACCGGAGACCTTACGACCACAGCTCCGAGCAGCCGCTTCGACAATGGAGGTGGAGAACATGGTCCACTCTGAGTCAATATCTCCAGCCTCCTTCGGGATCCGGCCGAAGCTCCGCCGGAGCTGGGAGTTGAAGATTTCTCTGACAGGAGACTCGGCCAAACGCTCCCATCAGAGCCTTACAGTATGCTTGGGTCTGCCGAGTCAGTCCAGCTTCCTCTTCCGCCATCGGATCCAACTCACCACCAGGTGGTGATCAGTTGACAGCTCCGCCCCTCGTTCACCGGGGTAAACTCCAACACATGGCGGCTGAGTTGGGGGGCTATAAGCAAACCCACACCAGCCTGTCCCCTCTCACCATGGGCAACTCCAGAGTGGTGAAGAGTTCATCCTCTCTCAAGGAGTGTGGTTCCAGAGTCCAAGCCGTGCGTAGAGGTGATCCCGACTATCTCTGGTCGGAACCTCTCAACCTCTCAGGCTCCTTCCCCGCCAGCGAGGTGACGTTCCACGTCTCTAGAGCTAATTTCCGTGTCCAGGGATCGGGTTGTCGAGGCCCCCGCCTTCGACTGCCACCCGATCCTCTCAGCACCGGCCCCTTACGGTTCTTCCTGTAGTTGGTGAGCCCACGGGAAGGCACCACGTCGCTCCTTCGGGCTGATCCCGAAGAACATGGACAGGTCGGGGCTGTGCCATACCGGGCGACGTCACGGTCCTCGATTTAATTTTACTCATAAGGCTTTTGAAGGTTTTTGAACCACTCGTAGTCTGACCCGTCACCTAGGACCTGTTTTCCTTGGGAGACCCTACCAGGGGGCATATAGCCCTGGACAACTTAGCTCCTAGGGTCGTTCAGGTACTCAAACCCCTCCACCACGTTAAGCTGGCAGTTCAAGGAGAGGGATTTTAATAAAATTTTAATGATTAATCGATAGTCCATCATTAATTCCCCCGACGATTGACTAAGAAAATTCAATCGAATGCCCACCCCTACTGAATAGCTCATTAATATAATTAATATATTTACCATAGTCAGACGAGTGAATGTGTGTTCTTCATGCCTTGTACAAGTTAAGATTTTGTGCTTTAATTTTTGTTTATTATCATTTTTAATGTAGTCGTTTTAATTTCTGCTTTAAAATAGTAAGCAATCAGTTGATTTTAGGTTTAGAATGAAATATTTGAATTTTAACCTTTTTTTCTTACAATGTAAAGCATAGCCTATATAGAGAGGCTTTATATTAAACATTGTTTGGAGGACAGCATCCATTAATCGAAAAAATTATCAACAGATTAATCGATTATCAAAATAATCGTTAGTTGCAGCCCTACTGTATAGTCATGCCCCAGTTAAATTTCATTGGTTCAAAATTCCACTTTAAACATTTTTGTTTATACAGAATCATGTATGTTTTGACTGATTTTTTTTAACTGATAGTTGACCCTTGCTTTGACTGTAGATAATGGAGAATGCGGAAATCAACAACATTATTAAAATTGTGGGTCTTCAGTACAAGAAGAGCTATGAAGATCCAGAGTCCCTGAAGAGCTTACGCTACGGAAAGATTATGATCATGACGGATCAGGTGTGATTACGTGCTTTACTTGCTTATGTGCTTAACAGATCTTTTCTATTTAGTATACATGCAGGTTTTTCATGAGTTCCCTAAACCTCTATGCATAATTTCTGTTATGTGTACTATCAGGATCAAGATGGCTCTCACATCAAGGGTCTTCTCATTAACTTCTTCCATCACAACTGGCCATCTCTGCTGAAGCACACCTTCCTGGAGGAGTTCATCACACCCATTGTGAAGGTATGATAATCATCCAACAACAACAAAGTTCAGTTTATCAGGGTTTTTTTTTATATGTGTTTCTAAAACTTTCTCTTTAGGCCAATAAGAACAAACAGGCAGTATCGTTTTACAGCATCCCAGAATTTGAAGAATGGAAGAAGCACACAGACAATTTTAAAACTTGGCACATAAAGTACTATAAAGGTTTGTTTTCTGTTTATTTGAAAAAGTCTGCATCGAATAACAAGCAGCATTCTTGACTATATGTTAACTATTTTGTCAGGTTTGGGTACCAGCACAAGCAAAGAAGCAAAGGAATATTTTGCTGACATGGAAAGACATCGAATTATGTTCAAGTACAATGGCACTGAAGATGATGCAGCCATTACACTGGTTAGTTTTTTTTCGCTTGAAGTTTATATCGACTATCGGGTGATCTCGAAGAGATTCTGGCAAACTGTCTGGCGCCTCAGGAGAGGGAAGCAGTGCCCTACCAACGCTGTTTACAGTGAAGGTGGGCAGCTGTTGACTTCAACTGGGGATGTCGTAGGACGGTGGAAGGAATACTTTGAGGATCTCCTCAATCTCGCCGTCTCGTCTTCCATTAAGGAAGCAGAGGTTGACTTGTCCATCACCCAATTATAATGTTGGATCTTTTTAATACTGTGTTTAGTGCAACATTACATTTATTTAGATATTAATTGCATATAACTTTGATATATTGGTTGACATTGTCTGTGATCTCTGCTCAGGCTTTCAGTAAGAAGAAAACGGATGACAGGAAAGAGTGGCTTACTAATTTCATGGAAGACAGGCGGCAGAGGAGGATACATGGACTGCCTGAGGTACCGCTGTCAGTTACACACTACTGCTCAAATGAAAGAGAAATGTTTCTAATGATAAACATAACACTCTTAATACTGTCTTTATAAGTAGAGAAACATATTATTAGGACCTGCTCACACAAAACAAGTGTCAGGGTGGCCGCAGGTCATTAAAAAGTCTTAAAAAGTCTTAAATCAATTTTCATAAAAATAAGGCCTTAAAAAGTACTAAATTGTCTTAAATTCAGATTGGATAGGTCTTAAATATATTTGTCATGTCACCGCAAAGATGCAGGCAAAGGCAATCGTTCTGCCAGCCAGGTCGAATAGTTTCTACAAGGTAACGTAACCTGTGTGTGTGTTAGAGAAACCCGGGTGCGATCAAACAGTGGAGTCATGAAAAACATCCATCATTTTGTTCTTACAGGACAACATTCAGTCTGCAAAGTGTTTACTTATATTTGTGTAGGCCTATACTCGCATTAAAACACAGTTTTAAAAGCAAAACATATTTATCCAACCCCTGTCTGTGTGTTGTAACGTCTGTCAGAGTTTGAAGTCTGCCCTGATGAAGAATAGGAAAGAATGTACAAACGAACTGGTAGTTTCACGAGTCCTTTTATAGTTGCTTTCTTTCAGTTAAGCACACTCTTCATATACATGTCGAAAGAGCAGATGTTAACAGGTTAAAGAAAACACTCTGTAAAACGCTACAAATCAAAGTGGAAGTAAACGCATTATAATAAAACAAACCCGCGATAGATCGGTCATCTTCCTCTTTCCGCAAGTATTCTCACTCTCACTGAGCGTGTGCGCTCACATTACAACATCACGCATACAATAAAGAACGCCATAGAAGAAGTCATCTTAAAGGCATATCAACATGTCATGAACACTACTAAACACTAGGTGGCTGTTACAGAGGTCCATCTTTTGGACATTCATCATATCGCATTGGTTTTCATTTCTTGTCCTCAAAACAGGGCACTAAGCTGTTTATTTTTAAGTGTTTGTAGTATTATTTAATATAGAAATCAATTATTTATAATTCTTATGATGAGAATAAAGTTAGGATTAATTAAAATTAAGGAAAATAAATATATTGATCTGAAATATAGCAAATTAATTTTAATTTATTAATTAAATGGTACAATAACCAAACATATCTCAGTCTTTTTTTTAATCTTTTTATTTGTTTAATTAACAAACAAATTATATGAAACTATTAGTACACTATAAATAAACTGGTTATATGCCTTTATTAGTAAATTAAATCTACGCCTTTATTAACCTTCTGATTGTCTTCGGGGTCTGCTAGACCCCAAATGACTTTTGCTTGAATTAAAAAAAATGTTCTCTTTTTCCAAATGGTATGAAACTTCCTACGGCTCTCAACACTGTCAAGATCTACAAAAAAAATAATTAAACTGGAATTCTATATGTTTTTATGTAGGCGTGACAAAAATAGTCACACTCGTGGTCTTCGGGGTCCATTGGACCCCAAAAAATACCATTTAATTTTGTAACAGAACAATAGTTTTTTTTTTTTTATACAACTATTATTTTACTGTTTATTAATGTTTTTACTCAACATTTGTGCAGTTTTTGGAGGATTTATGTTTTTTTTTTTAAATATCTATAAATTAATAAATAAATATTTATTTATCATTGGACTCAAAATAGACAAAATTCATCATCAAAATCAGAAATAATGCAGAACACAGACAGAAATGACAGAAATTAAGTGGCAGACTTCCAACAATGCAAAAAACATCCACAATCCAAAATTATCATGCTCACACACATGCACACACACACAAACACACACATATAGAGGAATACAATATACAGGAATACATACAGACTATAAAAACTGTTCGCTTATCATTTGTAAAATAAAATACTCTAAAATGCAGAACCACCACAAAAATAAATTGGTAACACTAAGACACATTGAAAATGTGCACACACACACACACACACACAGGAATACATTTGTAAGGCTATAAAAAAGATAAAAGAGATGAGACCAACTGTTCTATTGTTCCAAATTATTGTTCCTAATTGTTCGATTTTCTTCCCAATTTACTTTTTTTTTACAAATATTTTATTTTTACTGCTTTATTTGCTAATTTGTTATTGCTGTTCAGTTGAAATAAATGATAAAATCTTAATGTAACATTATTGAAAAACTCTTGTTTTTTCAGTACAAAAACAAATGCTAAACTTTGACAAAAAGTATTTTATTTTTGTTATAATTGTGATTTTATAATATTTAGATATGAATCCAACTGAATCCAACTTTAGAAACTATATCTTTCAGTAATTCAAATAGTTTATAGGCCTAGTGGAGCTCTATAGCCATCTATTGGAGCTCTATAGCCATCTAGTGGATAAGGTGACTTATTACAAATTTTAACCTGTTTTTTCCAGAAAATTAGGCAAAAATCTTACATTCAACCTTGTAAAATTATCCATGGTATCCCCAGGAATGAAAGTTAGAAATCTGGGTCTTTTATAAAGTTTATTTAACATAAAATGCTATTTAAATAAATACTTATTTATTTATTTATAGAAATAAAAAAAAAAAAATCATAAATCCTCCAAAAACTACACAAATGTTGAGTAGAAACATTCCTAAACATAGTAAAATTATATTTGTTAAAAAAAAAAAAATACTATTCTGTTACAAAATTAAATAATATTGTCTGGGGTCCAGTAGACCCCGAAGACCAGAATTGTTACTTTTTTTGAAGACCATCAGAGGGTTAATATACTTTATTATTTAAAACATACAAGGCTTAAGACATTTATAAAAATGCCTTCTATATTACGCAATTGACAATTGTTATTGTCATTTCACCATATTTTTGAACAGACAGTGTGTTTACTTGGAAATATTACTGTATATTTTCAGTTTTAATTTATATATCCATCGTAAGTTTGGTCTTAAATTTAATTTAGAAGTGGTATTAAAAAGTCTTAAAAAGTCTTAAATTTAAATAGTTTATACCTGTAGCCACCCTGTGTGTGAATGTATTATGGCATGACTTTAACTTTTCAGTCAAACTGCTTTGGGTTAGGCGATATGGAAAAAAAAATATTTATATGCATAATTTAACCGTGAGTAGTCAAGTCACATTTATTTCTATAGTTCTTTTACAATTCAAAAAAAAAAAAAAATACAATGTTTCAAAGCAGCTTTACAGAGATTACAGGAAAATAATGGTTGTTTCCAGAAGAAAATAGCATCACAGTCCAGCTTAAGTAAGTTCAGTGATGTTTAAGCTATAAAAAAGTTATAAATTTAGTTCATTTATATAGACCATTTCACAAGATGTAAACAACACTGGTCCAGAAGCACTTCCTGTTTCAGTTTTTTAACACTACATAAAAGCTGGGATAAAATACAACCAACAGAACATTTAAAACTGAATCAAAAAATTAAACAAACATCTTTAAGATGTTTTCTTTACATGTGAAATAAAGAAAACAAACAGCATAAAGAAGTTACAAACTGAAACAGGAAGTGCTTCTGGACCAGTGTTGTTTACATCTTGTGAAATGGTCTATAGCCATTATGGAGAAAACGTCTCGGTTACGTATGTAACCCTCGTTCCCTGAGTAGGGAACGTAGACGTTACGTCGGATGACGGAGAATGGGGTTTTCGCCTTGAATTCACGGCCAATGCATGAGGCAGCTTGTACCAGGAACACTTTAAGGTTGTGTTTATATATTTTAAACCACTGAATCGCTATAAAATCGCGATTAATTCTATTCTTAGCCTTTTAAATCGATTATTCACGTGAATAAATGATTCACGATTCAAAATACATGTTTCAGGATCGATGCATATGCATCGTCAGGATTTATAATCGATGCATCGAGAAAACGAGTGAATCGTTACACCCCTAGTGCTGATGGCTGTCGTGTCGATGTGGCCTTCACATGGGAGAGTCTAGTTGACACAATCTATGGTGACACTACAGGGATATGTTTTGGTCGTTGTGTAGGCACAGGTCCTCCATCCAGGGGCGGAGTGGCAATAGGGAGAGTCGGGAGTTTCCCTGGTGGGCCGGTAGTGTTTTGAGGCCGCGAGGGCCGGTCTGATAAAACTTATGCATTGCAAGTTCGCCATGCACACTTGGGGCCCAAGCAAGGGGAAGAAAAAAAATTCATTTTTTTTACAATTTTGATAACGGAGCGTATATTTGCACTAAGTCAAGTCACATTTATTTATATAGCGCTTTTCACAATACATATTGTATCAAAGCAGCTTCACAGTGATAACATGAAAGTAGTAAAACACAGATCAATAATATTGTTAAATATTATAACCCCAACTAAGCAAGCCAAAAGCAAGGCGACAGTGGCAATGAACCAAAACTCCATCAGATTGGATGGAGAAAAAACCTTGGGAGAACCCAGGCTCAGTCGGGGGCCAGTTCTCCTCTGGCTTACATTCATATTGTTTATATATAAATATTAAATATAAATATTGTTTATGTATAAAACGGCGCCATAACATATCGCAGGCGTTGAGTCGTCTCTTCACAGGCGTTGGTCTTCTCATCACAGGCGTTGGGGCATCCGAAATCCCCGTGAGAGGCTGGATACAAAACTGGACCTGACGAACGCCATTTTTCTCGGGACAAGCATCCCGAGATAACAGCAGAAAGGCAGCTGGGAAATAATTAGCATAGCTGATATTCATAATGATTTCCATTATACGGGAGTTGGTGTTAGAAAACAACTATCTCACAAACTCTCTGCAACCCAAACTCTCCCCAACCCAACCATACACGCCGACCCGTTTGTCTAAAAGGCTGTCGAGCCCCACTGGTGCGTTAAGCAGTTTCAGTGGCAAACGGTTCCGTATGGCATAACAGAGGACTAAAAGGTAAGCATTATGTGAATGCTTGACTAAAGAGATGCGTCTTTAATCTAGTTTTAAACTGTGTCAGCGAGTCAGAGCCTCGGACCGTATCGGGAAGGCTATTCCAGAGTTTTGGAGCTAAATGCGAGAACGCCCTCCCTCCTTTAGTGGACTTAGATATCCTAGGAATGACCAGAAGCCTTGAATTTAGTGATCTTAAGGAACGCGGTGGATTGTAGGGCGAAAGAAGGTCCGTTAAGTACATAGGAGCTAAACCATTTAGGGCTTTATAGGTCAGTAGTAGTATTTTGTAGTTGATACGGAACTTAATAGGTAACCAGTGTAGAGATGATAAAATCTGTTTTATGATCATAATTTCGTGACCTAGTAAGAACTCTAGCAGCTACATTTTTTACTAACTGTAGCTTGTTTATTGAGGATGCAGGACAACCGGCTAGTAAAGCATTACAGTAATCTAGTCTCGAGGTCATGAATGCGTGAACTAATTTTTCTGCATCAGAAATAGATAGCATGTTACGTAGCTTAGCAATGTTTCTAAGGTGGAAAAAGGCTGTTCTTGTAACATATGAAATATGATTTTCGAAGACAAGTTGCGGTCTAGTATAACACCCAGGTCTTTTACTGTAGTGGATAAAGTAACAGGACACCCGTCTATATTAAAGTTGTATTGTAAGAGGTTTTGTGAGTAGTTTTTTGACCAATAAGTAATACCTCCGTTTTATCTGAATTTAATAGCAGGAAATTACACGTCATCCAGCATTTTATATCTTTGAGACACTCTGTCATTTTAGATGAGTTAGTGTTTTCATCTGGTCGTGATGAAATTAGACATGTGCCGATAATCGGTAATGCGATACATCGCGGTAATGAATATGCACGATATTGTTATCGCGGGCTCTTCAAAATACCGTGAAAAATAATACTTTTAGAGCGTGCATTAACTTATTTTCCATCAGCCGCTCAAACACTGCGTATATGCTGCGCAAAACACGTGCGCACTCTGATGTAAACAATGCCCACATAAGCACAGCTGTGTGCATGCGACAGTGTGCACTAGTCAAACAATCCTCACATGGAGTAGAAGCATGGCGGAACGCTCACGACGATTTATCCCCGCAGGGCTGCCTACTCTCACGCATTCAGCTTGCAGCTTGAGACTTTCAGACAGGACGCGGAATACGCGCGACGCACAGGGATGTTTTGCTGCTGCGTCGACCTGACCAATTTAATTTAATCAAGTAAATTCTTATCGACAATTAATCAATAATAATCGATTAACTGTTTACATCCCTAGTTCCTAACCGACGACGAAAACTTGAAAGAACAGCCATCGATTGTTAGGCAGTATTCTAGGTTAGTACTTGCAGAGGTTTTTGGTCCAATCATTAGAAACAGAATTAGGGATTTTAGTAAATAGGTAATAGAAATTACTAGTCATCCAAATTTTTATATCAGCTATGAATTCCATTAACTAATTAGACTTGTCACTACACCAGATTGTTATCAATCGAACAAAAACTTTGGTTTCATAATCCTCCCTATTAATGTGTATAGTAGAGGGTTAATAACCACAACTTGCAACTATTATACTATTATTTTAAAATTGTTTGTCGAACTGACTGGCTACTATATACACAAACAGCGCTGGCATTGGTTTACGTTCTTGATCAAATCGAAAAATAACGTTGTAAAAGTATATATATACATGAAAAATACATTTACAAAATTAGTACATGTACAAATTCAGGTCCAAAATGTTTGTACGCGTTTGTCGTAGACACAAAATAGCATAACTAAGTGGCTATAAAGCCAGCGCTGGCATTTGATAAGACTAAAACATTATGTCTGAAATTATACATGCAAATAGATTTAAAATTATTTAGCCTACTTACAGGTTGTGGCCCAACAACTGCTTGGAACTGCTTCAAGTTTTAGTAACAGGTTCTTGTTGAATCCGGCATTGAATTCGTGGAGATTCTGGAAGCTGTCTTTCGTAAAATGCGCAACACAGAGAGCTAAATTATGATTGTAATTTTCAGGAACATAATGAAACATAAATTGTATCCATTGTTGTATCCAGTGCTGCAACTTTGCAGATAATGTTCATGCACCAACAGCAACATTACACACTAATTAAAATGAAAAATATGAAATCGCAATCAACCACCCCTTTAAAAGTGTCAAGATTTTTTTCAAGGTGTTTGAAACTCACTACTGTTAAAAAATGAATAAATTTCTGATCTTTCATTGTGCACATCTTTGTTTTCTTTTCACAGCAATACCTGTACGGCACAACAACACGACACCTTTCCTACAATGACTTCATCAATAAAGAACTCATCCTCTTCTCCAATTCTGACAATGAGCGTTCGATTCCATCGCTTGTTGATGGTGTGTAACTTGATTTATGTTTTTAACATGTTAAACTCTGGGTTTCTCTTCCTAGCTGAGTAAATAAATGTTGTTGGTTTTGTGTGTGTGTGTGTGTGTGTAATAATTATTTGTGTATATAATGTGTGTGTGTGGATTATGTTTGACCGAAGTAATAATGAAATTTCCTAATGCTGCTTGCCTGTAATTTAACTGGGCTTCTAAATATCAAGTCTACTTTCATCTGCTGTATGAAGGTCTGAAGCCAGGCCAGAGGAAGGTGTTGTTCACCTGTTTGAAGAGGAATGATAAAAGGGAGGTTAAGGTGGCCCAGCTGGCCGGATCCGTGGCTGAGATGTCTGCATACCATCATGGTGAAGTTAGTAGCAAACATTTATTTTCCTTTCTTCTTTAATTTGTTCTTAGTCATTATTAGTGCAATGTAGACGTGCCGCTATTCGGTAATGCAATAAATCGCGGTAATGAATATTATGCACGATATTGTTAATGCGGGCATTTCAAAAAACAGTGAAAATTAAAGCTGCAAGCAGCAATGGGCGGGCCCTCGCACCTGTAGCGCGTCGGGCTGTGAGGCGGCCGCGCTGCATATTCTGAAGCTCAGCTGTGTACATGCGGCCGGGGCTGCTTCGTTAAAGGTCACTTCTTGTTGCCAGCAGGTGGCGCTATGACTGTGGGCTAATTTTGTCATGTACATGTGTTCAGGGTGGGACTGTTGTAAAAGGTATAAAGTTTTGTGCAGGTCTGAGGATGTACACTGAAGTTACAACAACTTCCTTTTTCATGGAGAATCGTCGACGCCTCGGACACGTCCATTGATGAAAATGCGCAGATAGCACAACTTTACATCGTCAATGCCTTTAGAAGGTACAGCAGAAATTTGAAGTCGATCCGACTAAATCCCTAGGAGGAGTTTGTTAAAGTACGGAGTGTGTTAATCATCCCAAAGTGGCCGCCAAATTCCAAACGGCGGACTTCCCGTCGAGTTTAGTGCATCGCTCCAAGAGACTTTTCTGTGCGTCTGGACATGGTAGATGTACCACAGAAATTTCGTACTTGTTGGTCAAACATGCAGCGGGGGCTGCTTTATTTAAAGTCACTTCCTGTTGCCAGCAGGTGGCGCTATGACTGTGGGTGAATGTCGGCATGTAGATTTGTTCAGGGCGGGACTCTTGTCAAATGTGTTAAATTTCGTGCAGATCTGGGCATTTACAGCCAAGTTACTACAACTTCCTGTTTCATGGCGAATCATCGACGCCACGGACACGCCCATCGACGAAAATGCACAGATAGCACAACTTTACATCGTCAATGCCTTTAGAAGGTACAGCAGAAATTTGAAGTTGATCCGACTAAATCCCTAGGAGGAGTTCGTTAAAGTACGGAGTGTGTAAATCGTCCCAAAATGGCCTCCAAATTCAAAATGGCGGACTTCCTGTCAAGTTTAGGGCATCGCTCCAAGAGGCTTTTTTGTGCGTCTGGTCATAGTAGATGTACCACAGAAGTTTCGTACATGTTGGTCAAACAAGCGGCGTGGGCTGCTTCGTTTAAGGTCACTTCCTGTTGCCAGCAGGTGGCGCTATGACTGTGGGTGAATGTCAGCATGTAGATTTGTTCAGGGTGGGACTCTTGTCAAATGTGTAAAATTTGGTGCAGATCTGGGCATTTACAGCCAAGTTACTACAACTTCCTGTTTCATGGCGAATCATCGACGCCACGGACACGCCCATCGACGAAAACGCGCAGATAGCACAACTTTACATCGTCAATGCCTTTAGAAGGCACTAGGGGTGGGCGATATGACCAAAATTGTGTTTCACGATATGACTAATTTTATTTCACGGTAACGATATATTTCACGATATAGTTATTTATATAGTTATCCTCAAAAAAAAAAAAAAAAAGACAAAAAGGGCTTTGTATAATAAATAAACCCAAATACTTTAGAAATGAAAAGTATGTCACCACCTTGTTTTATTTTTATTTTATTTGGTAACTTATTTATTTGGTAAACTATTTTTATATAAAAATATAGTAAACAAAAAACACTCATAAACTTTTAGATGAACTTCCCACAACAGATTGATATTAAATACAACTCATAGGTGCATTTCAACTTTAAATCATTTTTCAATCTCATGCATTGCTTTAGCCTACTTCATCAATCAGTTTATAATATAATTATAATATATATAATATAATTATAATATTTTTTTTACCACATGTGCTTATTATACTGTGTTTTTAACGGAGAAGGGTATTCCTGCACAACCGGAGACTGCACACACTGTTGTTTTAACGGGCTTGTTTTGCTCTTTTTGTTATATCTGGCAACCCGTCAGTTCGGAAGTGACAAGAAGAAGATCAGCAATATGAAAACCAAACCGCAGCTACTGTTAGTGTTGACTAAGTAGTTTAAATTATACACACCTTACACCGCGTTCCAAATTATTATGCAAATTGGAAATAAGTGTCATAAAAATGTAATATTTAGTTTTATAATCAAACTCATGGATAGTATTGTGTCTCCAAGTTCTTTGGATCACGGAAAAAAATCTCAGACACCTCTGATAAGTAGTTTGCAAGGTGAGCCCAATTAAAGGAAAACTGAAGGATGTTCCACATTATTAAGCAGGCCACAGGTTTCAAGCAATATGGGAAAGAAAAAGGATCTCTTTGTTGCGGAAAAGAGTTAAATAGTGCAGTGCCTTGGACAAGGTATGAAAACTTTAGATAGTTCACGAAAATGTAAGCATGATCAATGTACTGTGAAGAGATTTGTGGCTGATTCAGAGTACAGATGGGTTTGTACAGAAAAAGGCATAATGAGGAAGGTTACTGCCAGACAAATGCATCGGATTTAGGAGAGCACTGCTATAATGCCATTACAAAGCAGCAAACAGGTATTTGAAGATGCTGGGGCCTCTGGAGTCCCGCAAACCTCAAGGTGTAGGATCCTCCAGGGCTTGCAGTTGTACATAAACCTACTATTCTGCCACCCCTAACCAATGCTTACAAGCCGAAACGTTGCAGTGGGCCCAGAAATACATGAAGACTAATTTTTAAATAGTCTTGCTTACTGATGAGTGCCGTGCAACCCTGGATGGCGCAGATGGATGGAGTAGTGGATGGTTGGTGGATGGCCACCATGTCCCAATAAGGCTGCGACGTCAGCAAGGAGGAGGCGGAGTCATGTTTTGGGTCGGAATCATGGGGAGAGAGCTGGTAGGTCCCTTTAGTGTCCCTGAAGGTGTGAAAATACCCTCTGCAATGCATCCAGAGTTTCTGACTTTCTTCTTCTCACTTTCTTCCATGGTACAAAAAGAAGAACCATGCCTTCCGTAGCAAAATTATTGTCATTCATGACAATGCACCATCTCATGCAGCAAAAAATAATTCTGTGTTATTGGCTGCTATGGGCAAAAAAGGAGATAAACTCTTGGAGTGGCCCCCACACTGACCTCAACCCTATTGAGAACCTTTGGAGCATCCTCAAGCAAAAGACCTCTGGAAGGCTATTCTGACATCGTGAAAAGATTTTTAAGCAGAAATCTCCATAAACTCCCAACTTCAATGGATACAGGAATTGTGAAGGTCATATCAAACGAGGGGTCCAAGGTTAACATGTAACTTGCCCTGTTAAGATGAGTTTGATTGAAATAGCTTTTGATTTCATTAAATTTGACCTCCTAATGCTGCAAATTCATCATATTACCATTTTCAGTTCTTTACAACCAATAAAATGTTTTCAAACTCTTTTGTGCATAATAATTTGGAACAGTGCATTTTGAGTTTTTTATTTTTTCAAAAAATACTGTTTTCGTTGGGTGTTTTGTTCTATGAAATTCAACTTATACCCTAGTGGTTGGTGACTGGAAAATTATACTGACTGTCATTTGCATTGACTATTTAGGAAAATCAGTGTAAAATATCATTTGCATAATAATTTGGAACGCGGTGTATAACAGTGCGTCGAACACCGCGTGCTCCCTCTCAGTGGTTGTGCACGCGCGCGTCTTTTACATCAACAAAATGCGATCGATTAATTTGAGAGTGAAGTTGTAATCACGGATCGAATCAAAGGGAGATTTTATCAACTGGTCCAGTAGGCAATTGTTTGGAGTTAAAAATATATATATAACTCGCGCTGCATATTTAGTAATTTTGCCTCAGAAACAGGATTATACATTCGTTTTAACAAGCAGGATGTTCATTCATGCTGAATGCGATTTTCATGTTTAAAAAGTAACTATACATAAGAGAAGGAAAGATGCGGATAACTATACATTATTTAAGGTTATTTCTCGTAATGATATTGATATAGCCTATGAAATGTTGTTATCAAGTAACTTCATGCTTTCCCTGTTGCGAACGTGCACTCCTCTAAACTGTAGCCTGGATGCTGCTGCTCTGCTCAAGTTGACGGCTGCCTTTCCCCCCGAACATATCACGTTAACAACAATCCTTTAGAAAATGTAATTCCTTTGTGGATCCTCTTGATCTGCTTTCTCCATGTTTCTTTGACAAATCTCAGCATCAGTCTCACGCGCGCTGCACGGGAGTTAACCACGCCCCCTTATTTGCATTTCGCGGTATACACGGAATAAAAAAATCTGTTACGCCTGACGTTTTCTATCGCGGTAACGATATATATCGTCATATCGCCCAGCCCTAGAAGGCACTGCAGAAATTTGAAGTCGATCCGACTAAATCCCTAGGAGGAGTTCGTTAAAGTACAGAGTGTGTAAATCGTCCAAAAATGGCCGCCAAATTCAAAATGGCGGACTTCCTGTCGAGTTTATGGTATGGGTTCTTGAGGCTTTTTTGTGCGTCTTGATATGATACACGTCCCCACCCAATTTCGTGCATGTAGGTTGCACGTGGACGAGGGGCTAATTTTTTCCAATTTTCTAGGTGGCGCTAGCGTGCCATTTTGCCACGCCCATCCGCGAAACCCACAAAATACGAAATTTTTCACCAGTCCTGACATGCGTGCCAAATTTAGTGAGTTTTTGAGCATGTTGCGGCCCCGAAAATGGCGCTTACTTTGCAGAAAAAAGAAAAAAAATAATAATTCTAACAGTTTCAATAGGGTCCTCGCACTGTTAGTGCTCGGGCCCTAAATATAATCCTAACAGTTTCAATAGGGTCCTCGCACTGTTAGTGCTCGGGCCCTAAAATGAATTCTAACAGTTTCAATAGGGTCCTCGCACTGTTAGTGCTCGGGTCCTAAAAATAACCCTAACAGTTTCAATAGGGTCCTCGCACTGTTAGTGCTCGGGCCCTAATTAAAGCTGCAAACAGCGATGGGCGGGCTCTCGCATCTGTAGCGCGTTGGGGTGTGAGGCGGCCGCGTTGCAT